TAGAAAAATATTTATATAGCGCCGTGGCACGGCGCGGCCGAGATGACGGCGGCGGCATGCTCTTGGCGAAAAAACGCGAAGGGTGTGGCGTGGCGTGGCGTGGCGTGGCGTGGCGTGGCGTGGCGTAGCGTGGCATGGCGTGGCGTGGCGTGGCGTGGCGTGGCGTGGCACGGCGCGACGCGGCGCGCGTGGGTCGGAAAGACGTGAGACGAGTCTTTTGGCGAAAAGCTTTTTGCTGCGGGGCAACAACGCCTTATGTCTTGCGTGCGGCGCTTCGCTTCGTCTCCAATAGATGGCGCCATCACAGGGGAAGGAAATCGTTTTTGACAAGTGTAAAGCGGTGGGGCGGGGCGGGGCAGCCCTATTTATGGGGGTGGCAGCGCGACGCACTCTCGTCCTCACGACGTGACAAGTCAAATTTTGGTAGGGAAATTTTTCTTGTTTTCAGAGATTGAGGTGTGAGCGCTTTTGCGAGATTTATCACTTGCTTACTTTATCACCCGCGTTTCTTTCGGCACAAAAAGTGCTTGTAAAACCTGTGCCAACAAACTACAGTCCCAGCTCGACGTGAGCGTCGGGCAAACCCGGCAAACCTCGTTGCGAGCCGGGAGCCGGGCCCTTAAGGCTCTTTGATCAATGATCAGTTAGCAGCACCTGAAGGAACCTCGGATTCACTAGTACGTAGCGATGTAAGTGCCATCGCAACTAGCTCGCTCTGAGGGCTTTGGTTCAAATTTTCATGTTACCACCTCAACCCTGAATCTGCAAGCTGCTGACAATACGCGCTGTGACTCACCCATCCAAACCACCTCACTCCTGTTCGTGAAATTCCTTAACGCGCTCAGTGTGGCTCGTTTTCGGTGCCTATGATTTGGGTGAACATTTTTATAACATTTTAAAAGCGCTCTAACAGGCCTTTGAGATCAAGTGGCTTGTAATGAGTAAATACAGCGCGCGTCAGGGGAGCGTGGCTCCTGGGCTGGCGAAGTGAGCTGGGCCACGCGCAGCGGTCAACCCCCCCCCCTCCCCCCCCATTCTCCTCTTCCCCAGCACGCGACTGCACAATGCGCCTCCTCGGCTCACCACCAAATAAATCCATCAAACCGCTCCGCGACTCTCCATCTCCACTCACCGAGGCGTGAGCTGATGCGCTGATTGTGGCGTCGTTACCCCCATTCAGCCGCGGTGAGCCGCGCCGTGAGGCCCGCGCCGGCCTGCTCTGGCAGATAGGGTTCAGCGCAAGTGGAATACAATTCCCTGAAAGAAAAAAAAATAGTTGTCACTTCTCTCGCCACACCACACACTAACGTCTAAGTGGAAGTACTTCCATAATTATTCAGAATTTTTCCATATTTCTATCCGATTTCTTTCTTGGTCATTAAAGGAGGATCGACCGACCAGACTAGATTTAAATGGCAACTTTTGCTCTGATAATGCCCACACCTCCAGTCGGATTACCGCGCCCCATTTCACTAGCGCGCCGCGACCCGCCCGATGACAGGGCAGCCGCCTCGGCAGCCGCCCTCCCCGCTGACCAGCCGGCGGCGCTCCATCCCTTGAGACGCGCCGGGCCACCCGCCCCCAAGAGCCCCGCGGCACTCGACTGCACTCGCAAAGACAAGGGAGGCACCAGAGGGGGGCGATCGAGTGGCTCGGAATCCATTGGCGGCCCGACCCGAGGTGTGTTATTACAGTCTATTTGTCGCGCGGCGCAGGG